AGTTGCAACCAGAGTCACGGAACGGATTAAGTTTGTAACTAGAAGTACCACTGTATATCTTTATTGGTCATGGTATGTTTCTGATTTGTCCTTGATAATTGAAGTAAAAGGCTTAGCACTGATTATATTTTGCTGAATGTGTTGTTTCTTATTGATGCTAGAAAGCAAGAATTGATTTTAAAATGCTCTGCTTGATATGAATGTCATGTATGTGAAGTTACAATAACTCACATGAGACCTGCTACTAATGATCTGTCCATTCATTTCTAAGTACATCTAACCCTTTCCATTCTTCCTCTTGCCTCTAACTAAGCCAGGTACCAAGAGAAGTGCTGAGCATAAAGGGGAAGTTTGATTCAGTGACATAGCAACGCTTGCAGATTTTTGATTTCTTATCTTAGAGAAATATATCACTTTGTATGAATGTAATGTCTCTGCTGCTCATTGGTTGCCCATGCTTGAGCTGGTAAAGTTTGATAGTTCAAAGGATATAATACCATCACTGTGAATATTTTTGAAAAACATTTGACTTTAAGGCCTGTTGTTATTTATGAAGAATTATGATCATTCCTTTTATATAGGCCCTTCCACTGGAACTTTTTCACCAGAAGCCTCCCACGTGTTTTCTAATTTGCTATTGTTTTAATTGCTTAGAGGTGGTTACAAATGCCAATGAGAAAAAAAAAATGTTTGTAAACAACTTTCCAAAAGGAATAAACTAGTTTTTTGCATATTCAGGTGACAGAGTAATAGATGTAGGGTCAGAATGGCGAACATTCAGCAATGACAAAGCAACTAAAGACCCATCTCGAGTTGGAGATACCCAGAATCCTCTCCTTAGTGATGGAGACTTGACTACAATGATTGGCAAGGTAATATATAAATTTTTAACTTTAAAATGTGTGAATGTTTTAATGTTCAAAGATGCATTGCATTAACAAGAAAATGTTGCTAAACATGAATTTGTTAGTCCTAAGACTGAGAATGCTTTTGTTTTGATAATTTCTTGATATTCTCACTTCTTGTACAGTATTTGGTAGTTTTTTCTCCCAATATGAAGAATGTAGGAAGCAGAGAAAATGTTCACTTTTTTTGTTACTTTGAATCCTTTGGGAAATTTATATTAGAAGTTTTAGCTTTCTTATGCTTCCTCACCTATTTATATTTGGTACATCCAGGGCTAATTTGTACAAATCTAATGGTATTTTGGTCCTGTTACCAAAATAAGATGCTTTCACACATCCATATGAAGAAGTCCTTCATCACTGAAAATCTGAAAGTATTACTTTTTTATCTTGTTTACAAAGTGGAGACAAAAGTAACGTCTTACACATCTGCAAAATTTTTCACTGCAAGAATTCACTGCAAGTTAGTTTCCATAACAGGAAGAACTACTGTAAATCAGTAAATGTAGTACAGTGACGACCATTTTTATTTCATCTTGTCCTGTGCTGTGCAAATTTTCACCATTCTTTCCAAAAACAAATTGAGGCTTTATGAGTGGCTAGAATGGTTTGCTTTTAAGAAGTTTTAAGATTAAATAATATTATTGGAGTACTCAATGCCTCTGCAGGTATACTTGATAAAGTAGATATACTTTTGCCAGGTAAACCAATGTGCCTGAGGAATGTTGGGTTAAAGATGAGATGAACTTTAAAAGGATCTCTCTAAGTTGTACAGTGGTACCTTGGTTCATGAATGCTTCTGTTCACGAACAATTCGGTTCACGAACAGCACCGTTCGCAAAATTTTGCTTCTGTTCGCGAACTCTGCATTGGGTGACGAACAGGATCCGCGGCCATTTTCCCTGCTGTGACTTGTGTTCGTGGCTCCCTGTAGGGAGGGGGACTCCCCCTCCAAAAAATAACCGCCTCCCCACCCGC